AATTTAGGCCTATTGCTCTCTGTAATGTGTTGTATAAAATTGCTTCGAAAGCCATTGTGATGAGATTAAAATCGATCCTTCCTGGAATTGCTTCGAAAAATTAGAGTGCCTTTGTTCCGAGAAGATTAATTACAGATAATACCCTCATTGCCTTAGAGTTGTTTCACACGATGAAAATGAGGTGTAATGGGAAGAAAGGGGCAATTTCGATGAAGTTGGATATGAGTAAGGCCTATGACAGAGTTGAATGGAATTTCCGGGAAAAATTGCTCCTAAAAATGGGGTTTGATGGAAGATGGGTGGGGACGATAATGGAGTGTGTAACTTCAGTAAACTACTCTTTCATTGTCAATGGCGGTGTTTGTGGTCGGTCTCCCCTACTAGAGGTCTCCGGCAAGAAGACCCTCTTTCCCCGTATCTTTACTCGTTAGACTATGGAGCGGAGCGTTGACTTCACATGGAACTTCTTGCATTCTATTTAATCTAGAAAAATAGAGTGGCAGATGCTTTCTCAGGTTTGTTGCGGCAAGCTGTTCTTGAGGGTTCCATCCATGGGGTCAGAGCTAGTCGCAGAGGGCCAGAGATTTCTCATCTCCTATTTGCTGATGACCTTCTCTTTACAAGAGCCAACCGAAGCGAGTGTTAAAAAATTGTTGAATTCTCATCATATATGAACAAGCTTTCAGCAAAAAATTAATTACGATAAATCGGAGGTCTCTTTTAGCAAAGGAGTGGATGTCTCTAAACAGGAGGAACTATTGGAAATTTTAACAATGCGACGGGTTGAAAAACATGAAAAGTATCTTGGGATCCCAACTATCATCGAAAATTAAAAAAAAAAAGTTGGTTTTCTCGGCTCTTAAGGATAGGATACGGAAGAAATTGTTATCAAGAGCAGGGAAGGAAATTCTTATTAAATCAGTCATCCAAGCAATCCCGACGTACATTATGGGGGTGTACAAAATTCCGGCAGGGGTAATTGATGATATACATTCCATGATTGCTCGGTTTTGGTGGGGTCAAGAAGAGGATAAAAAGAGGGTACATTGGAAAAGCTGGAAGGATCTATGCACACCTAAATGTCTTGGGGGAATGGGATTCCGGGATTTGAGGGTCTTCAATGATGCACTTCTTGGTTGATAAGCTTGGCGATTAGTGTCTAACCCGAATCACTTTTGCACAAGGTCTTGAGTGCTAAGTATTTCGCAGGGAAGAGTTTTCTTGAGGCGAATTCGGGAGTTGGAGGTAGCTTTTCATGGCGTAGAAATTGGTCCTCGAAAGCACTTTTCAAAGAAGGAATCATTTGGAGAATCGGGAATGGTTCGACAGTCAACATATGGAATGACCCTTGGGTTGATAATGGAGAGAGCAAGTTTATCACTTCTCCTAGCAATAATGATGAAGAGTCACTTGTAAGTGACTTGATAGATCATGAGGCTCGGGATTGGGATGTTCAACGAATCGAAAGCACCTTTAATGAGGTTGATGTGCGCAGCATCCTAGCTATCCGGCCTATTTCCTTGAGCTCGAAAGCAGGACTGGACTCTATAGCGTGGGCTTTCTCCATGGATGGCTGCTATTCGGTTAAGACTGCATATATGCTAGGTAAATCTTGCAACCTTGATCTTTTCCATAAAACATGGGTAGACATAAGGAGTTTGGAAGTCACCCCGAAAGTGCGTCACTAGTCACCCCGAAAGTGCGTCACTTTTTGTGGCGCATTTGTACAGGGACCTTAATGGTTCGTGCATACCTCAAATTCAGACATATGACTGAATGTTCTGATTGCCCTTGGTGTGTGGGAAGTCCAGAAACGCTGCAACATGCCATTTTTTTTTATTATTGTCATTCGGTACGGGATCTGTGGATAGAATGCGATTGCAAAGAGATGTCTTTTTGGCCTTCTGGTATGACTTTCTTAGAGTTAATTGATTCTTGGTGCAAATTGGATAAAAAGAAATTCTGTAGGGGTGCTATCTTGCTATGGAATTTGTGGTCTAAGAGGAATGATATGGTGTTCAATAGCAAGGACACTCACCACCTAGTGATTATAGACCGTGTGTATCAACTTGCTAATGATTGTGGTCTGTATGCGCACAAAATTTATGGAGGTGTGAAGAAAGCTACCTGCAGCAGCTCAAAGAAATGGGTTGCACCACCAGATGGGACGATTAAACTCAATTGCGACACCTCGCTGAGTGTTGATGGGTGGGTGGGTCTTGGAGTCATTGCGAGGGACTGGAAGGGCGCGCTCATTGGCCGCCAATTATTGCAGAAACCAAGGCTGCTGCCATGGCGATCAGGTTAGCCAAACGCTTTGGCTTGAAGGACATCATTCTTGAAGCAGATAGCCAAGTCCTCATTACTAGACTGTCGAAGGCCTCGGTTTTCTTCACCGATTTTGATGCAATTCTAGATGATATATTGTCTTCTTGTGTTCACTTTAATTTCGTTTTGTGGTGTCATGTAAAACGAGACGGGAATTCTGTTGCCCATACCTTGGCTCGTATTTTGCCTTATGGTGTTGAACAATTTTAGGAGAACCATAGCCCTTGTGAGGTTTCTTCTTATGTTTTGATGGATAAATTATCAATATAAGGCATCCATTACGGTTCCAAAAAAAAAAAAATTAGGCTGGAAGGTTGTAAAATCGTCTGGTTATAGAGCTGAATGGCGACACAAGACTTTTTCTAATGAATATTTACCTCCTATATCTATTCTCCACAGCACTACTCTCTACTCTGTAGTTATTTAAAAGTCGTACAAGTATATGTAATATGTATGTCCCTCTTTCTGGCCCTTCCAATGCCAAGGTAATCTACTGAATGATTATGCTTAATAGTAGGCATTCTTACTTTGTCTGTAGTTTTTGTGATCCTTGCGTATATGGCCGAAACCCCAGGGGTTCTAAATAAACTTTGTATCTAGCAGGCAAGATGATTATGAATAAGTATTGCGTGATTGGCTGACTGCCACATTGACACATGGCTACTAAAGCAATTTGTTCTCATATTAGACTTACTAGTACTTTTAAAAATCTAAGTAACTAAATTAGCTATAACATCTGTTTAATACGACGGAGCCATATTTTTTTTTTTTTTTTTTGACACTTTTTATAATTTTATTACTTCCACCTCTAAATAATTGCCCAAAACTAATAAGGAAAAATATTTAAAAACAATATGACATTTGTCCCTTTTTTTCACAATGATATTTTATTTATCTCATAATAATATTGTATGATCATTTTTGGAGGTCATCTGCTTAAAATAGAATGTGACTGGTTGGTAACCTATTTAATTATGGAGTAGTTAATTGTGACACGTATCGCATTATTTTTTATGATTGTTGAATTATTATTTTTTTACAATTTTCTTTTTTTTTTTTAAAAAAAAAAAAAATTGATTTTAATCTAAAAAAAAAAACCCTCTCCTATTTATGGAGTACTTTCACCCCTAGTTGATGAATTGGAGGAGCTTATATTAGGGTAGGATTGGTATATTGCCTATATCCAGCTATTCTCATAAGTTTGCATTTGTTATACAAATTTTGGACCATGTACCAATTTGTTTTACTAAAAGCTCAGAATTATGTTATTGTAGAGGATGTAGACTCTGCAGGACTGTCCTTGTTCTGCCATTATGTTGCTTCTTTGCGACAGCAAGACTGGTGCAGGCATAGAAGAGCAACAGTGACTTCTCAAGGTAATTTTCTCAGCATGAATATTCACAGAAGGAAGAATGGTGATTGCTTGATGTATAACGTACTGCTAAAATTACCAGACTGTAATCAAAGTCTTTGCTTTTATATTTTCTTATTCTGATTGCACCAACCTTGGAAAATTGGGTTCTGCCTTATGCTGCAGTTTTAATTCATGTTCTTGTACATGTATCTGTGTTTGCTATGCATATTTGTATTAGATACAAGTAACAACAACAAAGTTAACTTTAAAGTGCATTTGTAGCAGCAACAATATTAACAACAACAAAGTTAACTTTAAAATGTACACAAAAACAATGAGGGAATGAAGACGAGATAAAAAGAACTTTTAGACAAAGGGGAAGCTAACATGAATCGACTTTATAATTTTAGCATTTTAAAATGACTAAGAGGCATGGTGATAAAAAAAATGTTTAGAGATTTTGTAAATATACTATATATTATCTTCTTAAGGTAAGTATTTCTTTAAAAATGTTTAGGGATTTTATAAAAATGCTATCACATTGTAAAAGTAATTTAAGTAGAGGAGAAGAAATCGAGTCTTTCTTAGAAAGAATTATTATTAGAGTGTATTTTATTTGATGGAAATCCAAAATCATGTACGAAATGACTCTCTATAAGTCATAAAAGTTGGATTAGAATTTGGCGAAAAAAACAGTGAACAGGAGAGAAAAGGAAAGAATGAAGCAAAGGAGACAATATTAGGAAAGGAAGATACGGAAAAGATACTTATAAGAGATCTTCTTAAGGTATAAGACTAAGAAATAAGCAAAAATGAAAAGGACTTTCTTAGGCGCACATAAACCATAAAAGAAAATTATATAGAGAGAAAAACGATTTGGGAGGGGGGCTTAGTTGGACAAGCCTCATCAAAAGAAGGAAAAAAAAAAGAGGAATTGAGGAAAAGCTGTAGGAAAGAAAGCTTGATAAGCCACTAAAGATAATCTACTCAATAACTCACTATTTTTTTGTGCTTAAACAGTTTTTGATTATTAGTCACATATTGGCATTCAAATGGGAGTATGTCACACTTTTATCGATCTGACCAAAGAATTTTTAGATCGAGGTACTTGAAAATGCAATGATCATACCATATAACAGCACCTTTGTTTCCTGGGCAGAGTTTTCTGGCCTCAATACCAGATTCTGAAATGCAGCTTAAACAGAAAGGAAGATACATCCCCTAGACAAAGACCTATCCCGTATGCTTGGGCTACAGAAGCCTGGGCTATAAACATCAATTTTCTCTTGAAAAGATTGATTACAGTTTGATGTATATATACCAAAGAAGCAGAGATTATAATGGACTGTTTTTTTTTTCATTATTATAGAGATGTTTGGTCAAATAATGCATTGTAAAATACATTATTTGATGTAAGAAGTAAAATTAGTCTGAGAGATACAATGATACTACCGCAAATACTCACAGAGTCTACTACTATGTCCTAGCACAGAGCCAAGATAATTTTTAGAAGGCAACTAGCCAAACTAGAAAACCAGGCATGCTTCAAAGTTCAAACATAACTTCAATTACATCATAGATACCCACAGTATTATGGTCATTAAAAGTAGTTCCTGGACAACATAGCCAGGAAATCATTGAGTCTTTCACGCTCCTTAGAAATATATTCCACCATTATTCTCCAGGCCAGTCTTGAATCCTCTACATCTAGGATGATAAATATTGTTATCCATACAAAAAAAGCAGCAGCGATTGATTTTGGTTTTAGCCTCTGCAAGACAAGTTCATTGAAATTACCAAACATAAGAGGTTTGAAAGTCCATCAGCAAACACTGCCATAAATGTTTGCTGATGGACTTGAGAAATACTTCTTACGACTTATTCGAATTAGTATAATTTTGGGTTTCAAAATCCCCCAAAAATAAATGATTTATGGAATTTTTACAAGCTAAACCTAAATTCAATCAACTAATCAGCACAAGAAATCAATTTTATCCTCTTTTTTTTTGTGCAATTTTAACTCAATAATACAAAATTCCAGCAATTTTAAAACCCTATAGATCAGATCGATTGAATGATTTGAATCAAGTTAAAAACAAATAAGTTAGAATACCTGGATGGGACAACCCTAGAACGCAAACAGTAACCACCGGGACCTTCCCGAAGTGGCGTCGACATCTTTTTCCTTTTCTCTCTATCTCTTTATTTTTTCTCTCTGTTGCGAGTTTATATTCGATGCAGGATATTCATAATCCTCTTTGGGAAAAAAATAAAATAAAAAAAATAATCCTCTTTCAAGAAACGTTTACCAATTTGAGTGAGATGAAGTAGTTGAACATGTCTCCATAGTGTTGACCTGACCAAACACGCATCTATAGTTTGAGCCTTTGTTCCTTTTGGTACAACAGGTAAAAGTTGTCTACAATCTCCACTTAGGCCTGGTTATTGGGTAGGGCTACCCAATGGCAAAAGGGTCGGGCCTAATATTAAAGGGTTTTGACCCTTTAATTTTTTAATGAACAGGGCTTTTATAGGGTCATTTTTTATAGGGTTTTATTTTATAGCCCATTAATTTAATAACTAAACTAAAAAGCCCAGTAATAATACTAACGGTCAGCATTCAACTTCTACCCTCACATCCATTTTCTCTCTCCTCCATTGAAGCGCACTCAGAGTTCTCTATTAAAGCGCAACTTCAGAGTTCTCAATTGAAGCGCACTCAAGTTCTCCATTGAAGCGCACTCAGAATTCTCCATTGAAGCCGCGCACTTAGAGTCTCAGGTAACATCATTTTCTCTTTCTTAATTTGTTCTTATTAATCAAACATTGAATAATCAACATGGAATAATCAAACATTGTTGAACCAAATCACCAAATGCATATTGATTTATAATCCCAATTTCTACTATGCTGATATTAGGCGAGATTTGAATGCGTAATTGCTAATGCTGATTTATTTTATAATCTAAATTTGTTTTGCTTAATCTTAGTAGTAGAATTTTGGTGTTGTTCTTTGATAATCTCTCTCAATTAAAATCTGCATTTTCGATTTTCAGTGTTAATTACACCTTCTAAATGACTTATTAATGGCTAATTAAGAGAAAGAAATTAATGGCCCTTGTTAGCATATGTCAGTTATAAATTTTCAAGTTCTGCAATTGGCTTATTCTGTGTCATATATGCATCCTGAGAAATGCAATATGAAAGTAGAAAATGCTGGCAGACAATACTCAAAAGTGCATTGCAAGTGCATGATTAGTAGAAGTTTATGGCCCGTTAATGGCCCGTTTTATTTTTACCTCGACCCTGACCCGACCTTGACCCGCATTGACCCTGACCCGACCCTGACCCGCTAAATATTCAGCATGACCCGCAACCAACTCGCCCCGCTAATGACCCGCACCGGCCCGCCCAATAACCACCCCTAATCTCCACCAAACACTATGACCTTGCCGCCAAATGGAACATCAACCCCTGTTAGATCTCTTAAACTACGATCAATTGCTTCATACGTATGTCGATGAGTCATTGTTGCTTCATCCCATATTATGACAGCTGCATACTTGACCAATTGTGCCATCTTGTTTACTAAACTTCCAAGTTGACGAAGCATGCAGCGTAACCGGAATACCAAGAGTTTTATGAGCGGTTTTTCCTCGATGCAATAGTGTGGCAGCAATACCTGAGCTGGCTACTGGTAATCCAAATTTCCCTCTAAGCTTGATTGTTGCAAGTATGGCTCGATATAGATAAGTCTTACCTGTCTCACCCGGACCATCTATAAAGAAAATTCGACCATTCTCTGCATCAATAGCTTCCATAATGATATCAAATGAAGATCGTTGGTCGTCATTAAGATGCTCAGCACAATGCACATCTTCAAGGGGCACTGGTGTTGATAAATCATCATGTATGGCTCTAGCTACTTGTACGTTTCCATCCAATCGCATGTTTATTTTAGGTAAGTCGAAGTCATTGACACTCTTTCCTAATTGTTTTAACATGCGATCGATGTCATAGAGAACTGAATCACGTACCAGATTTGGATTTTTTGAAGTTGAATATAAGTAGTCTTCAACCATGTAATGATAAAATTCATCCCATAGAGATTGAACCCCGGTTGGTTGACAATAAACCAACGACGTGATAAACAATCTTCTCAATGATGATGGCATTTTAGAGTTTGATGCTTCATGCAAACAATTACGAATGCTTGCATCATTCTCCATAAGACCTAGTTTTTCAACTGCTTCTCTAAAAGTAGAATAAAAAATTCCATTGATAGTTCGTAGATGCTCAAATGATTCGGGGCCTTTAACATGATCCAACAACAAACGCAAGAAAAATCTTTCTCCTTCCATTGGTGAGGTTGTGTAGATTCTACCTATCACTCTTTGTGTACTCCTTTTTCTCCATATTTTTGTAGTTATCAGCCATTGATAACGTTGAGGAAATTCTCTATATAGGTATGTTCTTGCCTCTGCAGGATCTAAGGAATTCATATTGAAGAACTTTGTGAGCATAGTTCGAGAGTTTTGTGGCATTTGAAGGATGTCTTTAATAAATTGAATTGTACCAAAGAAGCAGATATTATAATGGATTGTTTCTTAATAGCAGAAGAGATGTTTAATTTGGTCCAATAATGCACTGTAAAATACATTATTTGATGTAATCAAGAAGAATAAAAATAATTTCTACAAGACCTATTCAACATAAACTATGTCATGTAACCCTCAACTACTTGGTAACAAATTTCTATATTAACATAAAAATAAAAATGCAGTTTAAAACTTGTAGTCATAGATCAAATGCATTGGTGAAAAACTGAAAATGGAACTCAATACAAATTCTATAGCGCTATTCTTCATGATTAAATCCAAGTTATAGGAAAATTTTCAATAATAGTCATTCATTAATTTCGATAATAGCTTCAGGGGCAATGGGATCGCAGTCTTCTGAGTAGTTGGTATTAGACCCTATTACGCTATGGTACGTACGTAGATGTAATGAAATGGCACAACAAGAAAAAGGTCAATTTTCAACATATGTGTTCCGACGGACATGAAAATCCGTCGGAAAAAACGAAATTTCCGTCGGAAATTCCATCAAAAATTTCCGACGGAATTTAAATCCATCTGAAAATACTTATTTTCCGACGGATTCCGTCGAAAAATAATTAATTTCCGACGGATTTTAAATCAGTAGCAATTTCTAACGAAATTTTAGTGACTTCCGACGGATTTCCCATTTTTTTTAAAAAAAAAAAAGAAAAGAAAAAAAGAAAACCCCCCAAAACCCCTCAGCTCTGTCATTTCTCTTTTCCGCCTCATCCTTCTGTCATTTCTCTTTCTCTTTCCACTTCTCCTTTTCTCGTTCTTTCCCCTTCTCTCGTTCTTTCCCCTTCTCCTTTTCTCTGGTCCTCTCACCCTCCTTCTCTCTCTTCTTTGATCTCCTCCTTCTCTCCTCTTCTTCGATCTCCTCCTTCTATCCTCTTCTTTCCCCTCTTTCTGACCACCGCAAACGGCAACGACACCACCACCGCACAGCAACAACAACTAGCAATTTTTTGTGGTGGTTCCACGGTGGCGCAACAACAACAACAAAATTAAACGCGGCGGCCCGCCACCCACTTTGAAGGTTTTTTGTAGATCTAGGTTAGATTGTAGATCTAGGTTAGATTGTAGATCTAGTTTAATTATTTTTAAAAACTATTCTGATTATAATTAATTTTTGATGTAATTGTAATGTTATTTTATTAATTTCAGAAGATAATTGTATATATATTTATTTTGTTTGATTTTAATTTATTTTGTTTAATTTTTTTCGGATCTTTGTGAATGTTTATGGTGGTGGTGGGTGGCTATTTTTGTATTCTAATTTTATTTTGGATGGTTGTTTTTTATTTTGGGGGTTCGGATGGTGAGGTGGGTGGTGGTGGTTGGTAGATCTGGGCGGCAAGGTGGAGATAAGAGATTATTTGGGTGGTGGGTTAAGGATATGGGTCAGGGTTAGGGTGGTGGGGAAGGATACGGGTTAGGGTTGTGGGAGGGTTTTTCGGGCAGGTGGTTTGGTTGGAAAACGGGTTGGGCAGGCGGTTTGGTGGGAAAAGGATGGACGTGGTGGTGGTGGGTGGTGTGGGGTGATTTTTTTTTTTTGGTAGGATTTTCCGACGGAATTTTCGTAGAATTTTTCGACGGACTTTTCCGGGCCGGAAAATCTCTTCTGACGAAGGAATTCCGTCGGAGAAGTGTTTCCGATGGAAATTCCGTCGAAAAAGATCGTTTTTCCTACAAAATATTTTCCGACAACCAGTTCCGACGGAGATTTTGTCGGAAACGGGATTTCTGACGGAATTCAGGGTGTTTCTGACGGAATTTTTCCGTCGGAAATGGCTGTTTTCTAGTAGTGTGGACTTATATTCTTATTTTCGTAGCATTAACCTATTTATTACTCTAACATACATGTTCTATAAATTTACTTTTTGTTGATAATCATCTAACATCGTTGTTCCTCATTTAATGTAGGTTTAATGATAGCAAGGTGAGGGACAAGGTCTCTGGTAAGCTAATAGGCTACTATCGAGAGCCTTGGAGGAATTACAGAGAGGATGAAAAAAAGAAAGAGCATTGGTGGAACTTGTTCAGCGTATGACATTTTGTACTTACTTAATACATGTATTATTAAGTGTATTGATGGAGTTGAATTTATAACTTTAAGAGTTTGTCATTCGTAGAAACAATGCACATGGGCACCTGAGTTGAACGAGCATGTGAAGAAAACCTTCGAATTCAAGTTTGCAAATCGCCTACGTGACATGTTCCACACAGTCACACACAAGATGAATGGCGCCAAGTCAAGCTGGCTGAATGAGGAAGTCCACAAGAAGATGATGGAGATTGTTTCCACAGATCCGACGTATCAGAAGCGATCTGCACAAAACAAGAAGAACAGAAGAGGTGGATCCATGGACAATGTAGTTGAACCAACCCACTATCAAGGTTCTATTTCATCTGTACAACATGCAAAAAGGATGGTAAGTTTGTTTTATAGGCAAGTAAAATAGAAGTCAATTGTGTATTACTATGTAATGATGGTCTGACATGTTAACTTTGATTTGCTGCATGTACATAAGGCGGTGAAGAATCAAGGCTAGCTACCAACTACTCCTGAGCTTTTCTTGAAGACACATTTCAAGGATGTGCCTGGGAAAGGCTCAGTGCCTGCCAACGCCAAAGCCAAGCATATTGCGGTAACAACTTCAATATAACTAGTCTCTAAACTTATTTGATTAATTTCATGAAAATTTGGCAAAGTAGAAATCATTATAGGCGTATTTGGTTCTATATTGATGAAAATGCAATCTAAAACTTACTTAAGT